ACATTAGGGTTTTGTAGTCCCTGATTGATGGTAACTGGGAAAAACTGTGGAAAATCACCCAATGTATCATAGGAGAGGGCCTAGGCAGCAGCGGCTTCCAGTCCTCCTCTGGAAGGGAGGGGTAGATGGACTGGGAGGAAACTTCCTTAGAGCTAGTGCAAGATGGCGGAAAATAGCCATCGCCCCATAATGGCAGAGCAGAGGCTGCCTTAACTTTCCATTTTTTATCAAAGCCAATACAAGATAGTGGAGGGTAGCCACCACCCTGTAATGGCGGGGCAGGGGCAATCTTGACTTTTTGTTTTTTATCAGGCGGACCCTTGTATCCTAATTTCTCATATTTTACCTCATTATCAGCAGTCATCATTTCCCCATCATAAGAGTGTCACTTTTTACCTCATTATCAGCAGTAATCATTTTCAAATCAGAAATCAGTTAGTTTGGTTTGACTAGAAATGCCTGGGACAGGCCGTCCCCACTATCCTATTGCTTTATTTGTTTATCTGTGTTTTTTAGTATGAGATTATTCTGCTCAGGGCATCGGGGGGAACTCCCCAAAGCGAGGCCAGAATGGCAGTCACAATGGGGTAGAACAGCCCAGATAATGGATGCTCCTCCCTCACTTCTCTCTTTCTGGCCATGAATAGCACACAAGCCCATTGCTCCAGATCCCAGCAGCAGGAATCCGTAAACCAAGGCGCAAGAGCTAGCACTTCATCTAATACCTTAGTTACTTCCTTCTCTATTACTCTAATTTGCCTACTCCTGAGGAGAGAAACCAGTGCAGCAGCAGGGAGGCCGGCAGCAGCTGGATAACTATTCCCCATACTGGAGGTCACTCACCCTGCAAGACGTACCCAAAAGGACTCAGGAGCCGTTCAGGAAGACGATGGGTGGAGACAGGAATGACACGCCAAACTGATGACTGCGAGCCAGAAGAAGCAGCACAGGAGAACAAAACCGGCGAGCACCCACAGAAGAATCACTGGCAAAGAGGGCATTGGGAGCCCAAAGTGTTTACAGCCTCGTGGGGTCGGGCTTTTCAAGCCCCACCTTGGGCGCCAGCTGCAGTCACCACCAGCGGTGGCCATGCCTCCGTTCTCGTGGGTGCCACTTCTTCATTCTCACGGGCATCGAGGCTGCTCCTCCACTCGCCCTGGGCTGAGGCCACTCTTCTACTTGCCTGGTGTTGAGGCAGCTCTTTTGTTTGCCCTGTGCGGCCTCCTTTTGTTGCTGCTTCTGCCTGGCCTCAGACCCCAGGGCTGGTGAGGAGACTGTCAGCAGAGCCGCATTCAGACACAGGAGACCAGGTTCAGTGACACGGGTCTGATTTATTGCAGGAAGGCACAAGCTTATATAGGGGTAGTGGTCTAATCACAGCACAGCAAGTAGGATACCTTATTAGCATCATCCTATTAGCATAACAGACTTAACGTCCTATCACAGAATAGTGGGTAGAATGCTTCATAAGCACGCTGGGTTTCTGATTACAGAGCCTGGATTCCTGGAAACCACGTGACCATGACAGTTGCAATATCACCCTAGGCTCAAGCTTGTCTCCCACACCTGTGTAGGGTAATTCCAATTAAATTCCGTGTGTGTGTGTGTGTGTGTGTGTGTGTGTGTGTTTTAAGAAGCTTATAAAACAAGTTTCCATATAACTTTTTCCAGCATCCTTAACCCCTCTCTCTAGCCCTTACTCTGCCGTATACTCCCAAGCCCTTCCCCACTTAAACCTCTTCATTATCCCCCTCTTATCCCTTCATATTACCTATGTTCTGCTATCTCCCCCCCTTAAGAACTCAAAGACCTTTCTTATTGTTAATGTAATTACTTAATAAGGTTTACCAATAAGTACCAAAAGCTGCCAATAATTTTAGAGTTCTGAAAATTCTCTCCATCCTGAATTAATATACTTATTTTAACTTTGATATTTTATTTCAAAAGATGAGGATCTAAGGCTTAAAATGAAAGATTATAGAAATAGAACTTAAAAACTTATAAGCAAAAAAATCTTTGTAGCAATATAGTTAGGTGACTACGGTCAAGTACCTGACTTCATGATGACCAAACTAAGAAAGAATCCTATTAGACCACAGCATCATCCTCCTTACCCTAATTCAGGCTAGTGTGGGAAATGCTTCCCAACATTCTCTGCCACAGCATTGTTCTTACTACAATTCCAGCTAACATGTGAAGTGCTTCCTAACATCCTTTATCTTCATCAGATATTAAGGAACTTTCTTAGGTTTCTGTTGATGGCATTTAGATCCCCTCCCCTATCCACACCTCCCCCCACTGCCTCTTTCCCAATTTAATGTACTCGTATATATGTAAGATGGTCTGTTGAGTCTGATTTGTGTCCACAAATTTCCTTCAGTGTAGGTCCATCCATTGGGCCCACCAAGAGTCTCAACCCTGTAGCCAGGTGTGGTGGTGCATGCCTTTAATTTCAGCACTCAGGAGGCAGAGGCAGGTGTATTTCTGTGAGTTCAAGACCAGCCTGGGCTACGTAGCAATTAGTCCCAGGCCAGCTGGGACTATAGGGAGACCCTATAGTCTCAAAAAGACTGAAAAAAAAAATCTCATCCTTTTAAGACACTGTCTTTTCCCCTCCCAGAAGCCATCATCAATTGGCAAAAGTTCCTTAGGTTGGGTTGGAATTTCATACCCATTTCCCCATGTCTATACTGGATCATTTTCTGGTTTGAGCTTGCATAGGACTTGCACATGCTGTCACCATTGCTGTGAGTTCATATGTGTAACTGACCAGCTGTCTATAAAACTGTTTTCTTTTGGTCAACTCCCTCTGGCTCTTACAGTCTTCCCACCACCTCTTCTGCAATGATCTCTGAGCCTTGGGATGCAGAGGTTTAAAATAGGTACCCTAATCAAGAATAAGCACATTGGCCAGTTGTGGGTTTCTGTGTTAATCACCATCTGCTATATAAGAAAACTTGTCTGGTGAGAGTTGAGAGAGGCACTCATCCTATGTGTAGAGGTTGCATTGAAGATGTGTCACTTAGGGTTAAGGGTATCACAGACACTTATTCTCTGTACTTGACAAGTTCTAGAACTCTGTAATAGTTTTTCATCCTGACTAGTCAAACAGGATGGGCTGGTTCTTACTAGCTAGCAGAGAGGCCTGAGCTCTGGAACAGCAGGACTGGAGATCTTGGAATGGGGTGTTGTTGGTTTTCTGTTTTGTTTTTTGAGACAAGGTCTCACTGTGTGGCCAGGACTACCTATGTAGACCAGGCTGTAAAGAACTTTCTAAAATAAGTTAGTCAATGTACTTTTAAAATTATTCCTATGTTGCTTAATAGTGTTAACAAGCAACTTCCTGGTAAAACTACATAGTCAAATTCTGGTTGATTTTAATTTTTAATTCTTTTTCACTCGATTGTTAGCCACCTACCTTCCTATTTTTGGTGTCCCACAAACAATGTTTCTAAAATCTATTACACACAGCTCCAAAATCTAAAATCAAAAGTTAGGTACCTAAATCATTAAGAGATGAAGTGAAATGAAATAATTTAGACCTCATCGCCTCGTGTGCTGTGAATACTAATGAATTTTACTCATTGGTAGACATGGCGGTTAGTTTAGTTATGGATGCCCCCATGATTCTCTGGGATGTACGTAATGCTTGCTGTATGTATCTTATTACTTTTCTAAAATTTGAAAGTGTAAATTCCAACCCACATGTGGCCCCACTATTTCAGAAAAGGGATTATGGGCTTGGAATATCCAGTTCCTAGAATAGTATATGCATCTAGTAAATGTGAGCTAAAGCCAAGTTTGATTAATATGAGGCACTTAGAAATAAGAAACTTCTCCATAGCCAGGACTTGTGACCTTGAGACCTCAGTGAATAAAATGGATGATTCAGTCCTTAGAGCAGGGAACCAAAATGTTTCCTTAATTGTTCTCTTCAGGTTGTAGTAATTGGTCTGTGGTCAGGCTAATAAATCTGAGATGAATGGAGCATTATTCTGTCAGTTAAAGTTGTCCCCATTAGTATCCTAGAAAGTGCTTTCTGTGTGCTTGTTGTAATGTTTTACTTCAGCTCTGTATCCTTATCATTCTGTGTCTTTTTGGTTATGTTCAACATTTTTGAAGGTGTCACATCAGCTTTTTTTAATACTGGTGATTTAATTGCAAAAGCATACGTAAACAGTTTGAAAGGTGTGAGAGGAAATTCACAAGTCACATGGGGAGCAGCACCAAAGCTGCCTTTAGTCTGGAATTCATCACGGCTTAAAACTGACTGCACTGCCAGAAGGACAGTGGTGCAGCCTAAACGACAGTGAAAAACCAGCTGAGGCAAGAAACATTTGTTTCAGAACAAAGATGCAGTAGGTAATATGGAGACAAATTTAGCCATGTTTCACCTTCATAAAGTTTAGTTAGGTTGTACAGGGAAATTAGGCATGTATATAAAGCAAGTAAGTCTTCCAGGGGAGAGACTTCACTGCTTTGGTGATCAGGGAAGAAAGTGGGGCTGCTCTACCTTATGAAGATGGGTCAAAAATGGGTAAGTGCAGAGGCTGAATGGGTGGCTTACAAAGTATAAGGACCAGGACTATCACAACTCTGGACACCCTGTGTTTAATAGGAGCTCTGCAACAGTGGGGAGAATCATCATCTTTGAGTTGACCTTCAGACCTGCTCTTGAAGGACACAGGAAGTTGCTCAGGAAGATAAGGGCAGGCCAATGAAATATTTGTTCTGAACAGAATAGATCATGTTTTTAAAAGTTATATACATATGTGTGTCTATGTGTGGATATGTATACATGTGTGCAGGTGCCCATGGAGCTGAAGTTACAGGTGATTATGAGCTGCCCAGAATGGGTGCTAGGAACAGAGCCTGGACCTTCTGAAAAGTACATACTCTGAACCACTGAGCTGTGTCTCCAGCCAAAGATCAGATGTTATTTGAAATCTCAGTACCAAAACAGTTACACTGCAGTAATCTGTGCTGTATTGTCATTGCAGGTGAATCAAATATCCCTTCTGGAACAACACAGAGTGGGAAAAGTTCACAGAGTAAGAGTCAGTTCAGGACCATTGCACCCAAAATTGTGCCCAAAGTTCTAACATCCAGAGTACTGCCCTGTCCTTCATCACTTTCTGACCAAGTCAGTCTGGCACCACCCCTTACCTCCAAGCCCCTGGGCATGCCCACCCAGAACTATGCCCTGATGCAGGTGGCTGGCCAGGAGGGGACATTCTCTCTTGTTGCTTTGCCAAGTGTCACCTCAGCACAGCCAGTTCAGAAGCCCAGAACAGCTCTGCCTGAAAACCTTAAACTGCCTATTCCTCGATACCAACCACCAAGAAGTAACAAGGGATTAAGAAAGAAATGGGGCCTGAGCTCTCTCAAGAGTGACTGTACTAAACCTCCTCCTGACCCAGCCCAGACATGTCAGATGATCCCTTGTCCACCAGCCCATCCTGAACTGCCACACAAACCCAGCCCACTGAAGCAAATGCCCACCTTAGACCCTGCCCCTGCCAGCATCCACACAGCTACACTGACTAGTGGCCAAGGAGATTCACATCCTCTAGTGACAAACAGCCATGGAGATCTGGACCCTCCTGCCACCCCAGCATGTTCTGCAGAGGAACCCTCTGCCACTCAGAGCCTCTCAGGGGTTTTGCAGAAAGCAAGCTGTGCCAGTAAGGAGGTAACCACAAAGCCTGCTGTTGCCAGTGAAGAGCTTAAAGAACAAGTGGATCCTGCCATCTTCAGCAGTGCAGTTCCACTGGTCTCTTTAGCACCCAAGGGTAAACTGGCCATCTTGCCCTCCTCAAGAGTGAAAATAACAGAGACAGACAAACCAGAATCAGATGCTGACATTGTGGAATCATCTTCATCTAAACTTGGGGCAAACCACGATGAGAGATCGCCCATCACTGAAGGCTTTAGCACACCTACCAAGATGACCAGAAAGATACCTACCCCACAGGATTCAAAGCACAGTGAGTCCTTCTGTTCCATCACCAAACTAGATCTCAGCCACAAAGCTAAACTTGGCAGCAGGGCAGCAAAGAGAACAGGAAGAAAACGAAAGGCATCAGATGAGATTTTAGCATTTCAGGGCAGAAAGAAGAAATGCATTAACATATGTGGAGATGGTAAAGAAAGGGCAAGAAACAGTCCCCAAGAACTCAGAGACCAGAAGCCTTTGGCTGCAAGAAAGTACCGTAGCATCATGCCTAAGCCTGTCATTGTCATGTCTGCTTTGGCTCCCTTGGCCCCCCCTGCAGCTGTGCTGCAGGCCCAGACTCCCAGCAGCCTGGCTCAGGATGTTCTGCCCAGTAATACACTCTCTTCAAAACGCCTTGGCCCCAAGCTGAATGACTATCCTGCCCCTAAGCCCAGCTCTGCACTCAGAAATGGATTCGGTGGCTTTAAGAAACCCTGGCACAGATGTCCTGTCTGTAACCACCACTTCCAGTTCAAACAGCACCTACTAGACCACATGAATATGCACACCAACAGACAGCCTTACAGTTGTCGGATCTGCCGGAAGGCCTACGTCCGTCCCGGCAGCCTGAGTGCACACATGAAGCTTCATCACTGTGACAATCGCCCAAAGAAGCTTGTGTGCTGTGAATTTTGTGCAAAAGTGTTTGGTCATGTCCAAGTCTATTTTGGCCATCTGAAGGAGGTGCACAGGGTTGTGATAAGCACAGAGCCCTCCCCTAGCGAGCCACAGCCAGGGGACATGCCAAAGAGCAGGAACAGAGATGCTGGTGTGCAAGGGCCCACCAACCCACTGGAGAGGTGAGTGCTCACTGAGGGAATCCTGGAAGAGCATCTGTTCTGATTTGAGAAAGAGGGGCCAGTTTTATATTCAGAAGATTAAGATTTCATAAGGGAACCAGGAGTAGTAATGCACACCTGTGATCCCAGCACTTGGGAGGCAAAGGCAGGAGAATTGGGAATTCAAGGCCAGCCTGGGCTACATGAGACCCTGCCTCAAAATAGAAATGAAAAACAAAACAAAAAAAGATTTCATAAGGTACAATAAGCCACCATCCCCCCAACCCCGAGTTTGTGAAGAATGATGTCATTTCTCTTTGGTTTCTGGTCAGTCATAATGTTTAAGTACTCTAACCTGTGTAAGCTGAGGCATAAATGCCAGTTTGAGGTGTGTTGGGGACAGTTGGTAACAGGTTGTTTTTGCATATGAAGATAAAATAGCAAATTATTGTATATAGTTCCTGGTAGTCTATAAAGTAATTTTCCCCCAGATGGCGTCCACAGAATTCATATCCAGATAATCATCTGCCCCACAACACTGAAACACATCAGTGACTTGAGGGGTCTGCCACCTTTATCAGACACCGGGTTCCCCACCTAACCATCTACAAGTGCCTGTTTTTCCTGTCAGGCTAAATTAACTTCTCCTTATGTCCCATTTTGTGTAAGCACTGACCCTTGACATTACAAACAAGCTCTGTAATCTGGCAGGCTGACAGACACCTGAGCAGGCCAGGGAAGTGTCCTCAGTGCAGGCCACAGGTATTGACAGGCTGAGGCGACTCTCAGAGACGAGAGAAAAACCCATCCCAACACTGTGGGTTCTCTGCCCTGGGTTTTTTATCGTCCTGGTTGTCACGATGGATAAAAGCAAGATGCGCCCTGTTCTCACTCTTCCTTGTCTTTTGATTTTCCTTTTCCTGGGCAGTTCTGTCCCATTTCTCACTAATGAGCTTTCCATTCATGTGCCATGGACCTGTCCCTTCCACTTGCTTTCCTGTCCTTAGAGTTTGATCTTGAGGTCAGGTATCTGAGCTGCCCAAGGTGGTACAAGAGGCATGAGTGGTGTGGGACACGTGGCCCTCCAGTTCCTCCTGTAGTAGTGCCTCGCTCTTCCATATCAACTGCACCTGTGGTAAACCAGGGAGGTGGCTCACCTGGGGGAGATGCAGGACTCTTCTGACATAGTCTGTGCTAACCTGAGAAATGTGTGGCTCCAAGAATGGCAGTGTGTGCTGTGGCTTCCATGAGGCTCCACTCTGTGGCCCACCCTCCACTTCTCCCAGCAGGGGTGTCTTACAGCCCTGAAGGTAGAGAGCTGAGAAAGGGTTCCAGTTGTGTTTTGCCTCAATATCTTACCTGGACTGTTTCTCCCTCTTTTTCAGGGAAAGCAAGTCAAGCTTGGAAGAAGACTTCCTTCTAAACCAGGCAGACGAAGTCAAATTACAAATCAGATGTGGCCGTTGTCAGATCACTGCCCAGTCTTTTGCTGAAATAAAGTTTCATTTGCTTCATGTTCATGGGGAGGAAATTCAAGGCAGGCTTCAAGAGGTGATCCTACCAGGCAGCAGAGTCACAGCTCCTGACCAGAAAAGGAGGCCAGAGAAGTCATGTGCCTCTGTGGAGGACCCCCAAGCTTTTCCTAAATTGAAAGGGCAGTTCCCCCATCTTCAGCAGAGCAAAGGGGAAGCAGAGGTAGAAAATGAAGCTGGCCAACTGGGAATGAATGGCCTACAGGGCCCTGTGTGCCCTGGGCCCCCACTGTGGACCCATTCAGGCTTTAACTGCCTGCTCTGTGCCCAGACACTGGGCCAGAAGGAGGACCTGCTCCTTCACTGGGGACTCCGGCATAACTGTGAGGACCCTGCCAGACTCTGGGCCATCTTAAGTGCGTTCTTTAACTAGGGAACACCTGAGCTCTACAGCCAAGCAAGACACTGGAGACACTGGCCAGTACCTTTGTATCACTCTGTTTCTATGTTGGTATTTAATTGTAAGGATCCACTAGTCAGGGCCAACATTAATGTGCAGAGATAATTTTTGTACATAGTTTTATTTTCCTAAGAAATAACATATATGCCCTGGTTATGTTTTTCTAATTATATGCAGTCTCACTTTAAAATTCCATGCATTGTTCCTAGTCTTTATTTCAAAATAAATAAAAACATCAAAATTTAGAAATTGAAATGTAGAGATTGCCAATTGTTTTCAGGTGCAGGTTTTAGTGCGAGTGTGTGTGTGCATGTGTGCGCACGTGTGTGTGTGTGTGTGTGTGTGTGTGTGTGTATACATGCAGCATGTATGCACACACAGGTGCCCTCTTGTTCCAATACTTTTTGTGCATGCCGATCAACAGTGCACACTCATCTCAACTATAATGTCAAGTTAGATGGTAGATGTTGATATTTATTAGTCTCTAGTTTATTTGAATATGCTCTGGAACAGTCTTTTTAATAGTTATTTTTTCTCTACCATAACTTAAAATCCATGTTTTCAAGGCACATTTTTGTAGTTTTGTTGGTTTATTTAATGTGCGATGCTTTGCATATTAGTTGGCAAGTCATAGCTGTGGTGTTTATATCAGAATAATAGGAAAATGGTACTACCTCAGCTAATAAAAAGTCCACTTCCTTTGTAAAAAGTAATTTTCAAAAATGACTTTGGGACCATAAAATTTACTACCTGGAACATGCTAGATAGCGAAGTCCAGATGTGGAGGTGTCTCCTGCCTTCTCTCCCTCCCAAGAACTTCAGAGGGCTGTCCACTAGCAGATCAATGTTAGGTGCAACTGTGCCTTTAAAGCTCAGGTTCTCTTTGAAAAATCAAGAGTAAGTGATTGCCTCTTAAATCCTGGAAAATGACCTTGAGTCAAAAAAGTTGTCATTTGACATTTTTGACCATCCTGGCAATGAAGCATATTCTTACAGATGTGGATCTGAGCCCTGATCCCCTAAACTCACGGTCTCTAGATGAAAGCTCTGCACATGATCAGCCCTGTGTGCCTAGACATGGGCCTAAGAATGCTGGGAACAGGAAGCACTAGACTAACCGATAAACTGCTGGTCCTTCCCTTGTTTTCTAAATGTCTGTCTTGAAAGGCCCTGTATGGCTGCATAATGCAGAAAGGGGAATCTCAATCCTTACCTTTTTTGTAAATAGTTTTGCAAATCTGAGAAAATGGATTGGTTTGGATTCTCTGAAGCATTTTACCATGGTTTATCCATGGATCACACTCCAATTAGCTTCAAAGATCACAGCAGCCCACCCCATTTTTGATGCTGTTAGACCCCTCAGTAATGAAATATTGTATCACTCAATGTATTTGCTAGTTGTTAGGAAGATTTGTTTTAAAGATTATAAAAATGTGCTGGGTGTGGTGGTGCATGCCTTTAATCCCAGCACTCGGGAGGCAGGGGCAGATGGATCTCTGTAAGTTCAAGGTCAGCCTGATCCACATAGTGAGTTCCAGGCCAGCTACAGAGAGACCCTGTCTCAAAAAGACCAAAAACAAAAACAAAAAAACTGTGATCTACCAAAAACATTATTTGAATCAAACTCTAAAATGATTAACAGACTTTCTATTCCTGAGGTAGGAATGGACATTCCTGAGGCAGGACTTCAGAAATGCGGGCCAGTCGGCCTGGGGTACATTGGCAGGTCTGTTGGACATGCTCCAAGCAGGCAGGACAAAATCTGATGGCCCTTTAGTTGTGGAGATCCCCACTTAGCCACATACCCGTGGAACAGGAGACAATCTCTGGAAAGATGTGGCAATGGGGGAAAGGGTAGAGGTAAACCAAAGGTGTGCCTAGCTCCATATTTCCTTCTAGAATGTTTCAGGGAAGTGGATAAATCACTAACTAAATTTAGGAAGTCATCAGAGCACCAGTCCCTGGGATGGAAGGGCTGGTAGAGAAGACAGGAGGGTTATGGGCACCTGTAACAAGACTCTTTAGTTTGGGTCCGTAGCTCAGTGGTAGAACTCAAGGTCCTATGTTCAGTTCATAATGGGGAGAAAAAAAAGGTTAAAAGTGAAGACTTGGAGGGCCTATGTATAAGGGTTCATTCAGCATATGCTTGTTAGAGATGTCAGCTGTGGAAGTGCACTCGCATGGTCCTATATAGTCTCAGTGCACCCAAAATACGGGGTTACTGGCCCTTTACATCAGTGCTTCCTCTGAGATGTGCAGGAAGAGAGCTTTTGCTGAGGGAGTAACAGCTAAAATAGCTTTGGGAGAGCCTTCCTTGGATGTAATGATATTGGCACAGTCCCAGAACCCATGTGGGTAGAATAAAGTATTCTTACTCTACCGTTTAGTTCCTGTGACCTGGGAATAAGACCTTTTCCAGGGCTGCAGCCTTTCTGTAAAACGGCAGTGACAGTCCTACCTCCCTGAGTGGTTAGGAAGAGTCCTTGAGACATACACAAAATGTGTGGTCTGTATGGTACTGGTATTATGTTTTTGGCCAGATTTGTAAGAGGAGGTACATTACAGCATATAAAGGTAATTGAAAACAGCCCAGGTAACTCTTAAGTATGGACTACACAGGAATTCACAACTTTATATAAAAAGTGTATTTATTGAGGCTGGCATTCTTCTGATCTGCACCTTACCCCTGTAGGTGTCCCTCTGTCCTCCCCTGGTATAACTTGTCATAGCACACGCACACCATCCAGACTGGCATTAGGTCTGTCAGCTCCCTGACCATAACCCTCTTGAGGGCAGGGACATGCCTCTGTTCAGCCTGGAGTCCTCCAGGGCCCAGTGCTGCACAAGGAATAGTCCACAGGTCATTGCTAGGGAGAAAAAATCTGAATCAGCTAAATGCAGAATTGCTGCATTACTTTTTATGAATAAAGCATCATTCGAAGCATCAAGCTTCTAACAAGGAAGGCATCTGGGCAAACTGGGTCTTCAACTCAGCACTTTCATTTTGCTTAATGTCTTTTACTTCTTGGAAAATTGTCCCAAAGCCAGATTTTTTTCCCTTTTTCTTTTGGCCCTAAATTATTTCTGAAAGCTACAGCATTTTCGATTTGTATTGTTTTATTGCCTGTCATTTTTATTCATGTCCCCTTTTGTGGTGCTTGCTGGCTCTCTGGATCCCTTCCTAGTTTAGCCCACACTCCTCCCTTGAGCTGCTTCTCCTGTGCTCTTCATCTGCACACCGTAAATAACCATAGCCAGTTTGGGTGCATTCCATGGCTGCCTCTGACTGAAGGCTCCTCCCCTCTCAGCTGCACAGCTCCAGTTTCCTGTTAGCCAGTGACATGATTGTTGGCAATAAATGTTCCACTTCATTTACTTATTAAGATTCTCCAATCTGGATGGTCTTGCTCTGTTCAAGCTGCTGACATGCTTTGTTTACAGGCGTGTTCCCTTTTTACTGAGCTCCTGAGAGAAGGCCCTGGTCAGGATGCAGCAGGATCTAGCAGCGCAGGGGTTCAGCTTAGTCCTGGCTTTGCTGGTACTGCAGTCAGCAGCTGCTCCGGGTGCTGGTGCCATCACAGGCACTCATCTCCTCCTGGGAGTATTACTTGGGGAGGGAACATGGTGTCTTTGCTTGGCCAAGGTGGTGGTGGCTCCCATAATGAAACCATAACCCTGTTCCTCGGGCCAATTGTGAAGCTGGATTCAGGTGGAGACTCTTGGGTGCTCATCCTAGTTTCCATACTGTGATGTGTGGAAATGCTTCATAGTATTGCTTAATCCTAGGAAAACGCTGTCCATGGAAGAAAACCAAAGGCACATAACTAACACTGACAGAAGGATCTGCCTCTTCTGGGTTTGATGTGAAACTAAGCACGCTAGGTGGTTTTTTTTTTAACTAAGTCTATCTCCTTCCCCAAAATGCCCCACCTCTGTTAGCTTAGCAGTCAAGAATTCACTTACAATATTGATGACATAGTTGCCCTTTTTAGTTTCTCCAAACACCAAATGCAAGTTTATTAGCATTATAATAGATCATATTTTTGAGAAATCAAAAACCCACTCAATACTCAAAAAAGACTTTCCTTTCTTTGTTAAATAGGAATTTAATCCACAGAAGTAGAGCAGTGAGCACAGTGCGATCACCACCCAAATGTCAGTGTGTATGGACCCAGACTCACTGGGTCCAATCACCCTGGGCTCCATCCCTGGAGGAACATGTAAGGGTGCACAGCCACCACTCGCCCTGTCCTTACTGAAGCACAGTGAACATTTGACACAAAATTCATGAGACCAAACCTTCTTGCCAGGGATTATACCCAAGAAGCTATTCTGTAATACCCATGAAATCTGCCTTTCAGTAGGTGTTTAGTTTGCTCACACGTGCAGAGCAACAGTCCTACCACTCACCCAGTGACCCACATAACCCAGCTCCAAAGTGACCCACATAACCCAGCTTCATTCCTTCCAGAAGTTGAGTGTAAAAGGAGAAAGAACAGGACAACAGTGTGGTGTCAAGATGTGACTGAGGTGAGGACCTTTTTGACAGTAGAAGGCCCAGTAAGACACCAGAGAACAGGGTGACTCCAGTCCCTGTATCCAGACAGCAAAATGGCATGAATATTTTCATCAACCTTCAACAGAAAGAAATGGGACAGTATCAGAAGTCTAAAAGGCACAGACCTTTTGACCCAGGGGTTCCATTTCTACTATAAATATTAGTTCCTAAGTACATTGATAAGCTTGATAGGTGAGCACAAACATGTCCTTCATTTTGTAAGCAAAACTGGATACAACTCATCACAACTGGCCAAAAGTATTATAGTATACCATATAATGGAATGTTATGCTATGTGGTAAAAGACTAAAGTACCATGTTACCTGTTAACACGTATATTGTGTGAGAGAAGCCAGGTGTGAGACAAGGTATGTGTCTTTGCATACATTGTAATCATATTCATTCACTCCATAATTCCTTCTAACTTTTTTTTTAAATAACCTACCCAGTCCAATTTGTTTAATCCATATACTCTTGGGTATGGAGCCATCCACTGGAGACTTATCCAGGACCATATCCTTAAAGAAAACTGATTCTCCCTCCCACAGAAACTATCAACTGCCAATAGCTTCTCAGCTAAAGGTGGGGGATCCTGAGCCCCTCCCCTCTCCATGCTGGAATGTTGATTGGCTTGATCTTGTGCAGGTCTTATGAGGCACCCAAAGCTGCTATAGTTCATAA